GTCAGATCTATAGACAGGAGTACGGCATAAGGCAATAACCAAAACCTGGCGCCAACTGGAATTGTACATCAGGTCTGTGGTAGGAAGTGCTATACACCAGCAACACCTGCAGCATGCCACTGCCCTACTCTGGACTGAGTGGTATGATTCATCACTCAGGAGGACTGGCCTCAATGGTCCACCACCCCAGCAGCTAGGAACTAGTAAGTGATAAGGACTCTCATACTCCACTAGAAGGAGAGAAAAACATGTTGGAGAGTCTGGAGGACTGCATCACCAAACACAGTGTAACAGGTGATCATGATACCCTATTTTGAAAAGCAGAGCAATCACGTTGATGGAATTATTCAACCAAAACCTGGCGGAAATTTAATGGTCATTGCTGCTATAATGCAAATTTATTTTCTTTAACCAAGTTACGAAGAGTAAGTAGTAAACCTACTTACTTACATGCTCTTAAGTAAATTTGGGGTCCACTTTCAAGGAATCCCTGTAAGTGTTTCCACAAAATACTCGGGTTCCCAAAAGGGTTGGGTGAAATGATTCACCTTTGTGCAAACCTCAAGGCTAAGATGATTATTTGGTACCATTTAAAAGTCAGTGCAACCAGCAGTTTAAGAGGAGTTATGTAAAATACACACACCAGACAATCTTGAACTACTATTTTGCACTTTTTCAATTTTAATGATCATTGCCATTATAATAGAAATATAATTTCTTTAACCAAGGTAAGAACAGTAATTTGTAGGCCTACATATTTACATGCTCTAATCAATGCCAAATCTTGGGTCTGCTTTCATGGAATCCCCATAAAAGTGTTTTCATGTAATTCCTTGGTTCCCTAAATGGTTGGGTGAAAAGTTTTACCTTTGTGTAAACCTCGGGGCCAAGATGATTTGTTTGGTACCACTTAGAAGTCAGTGCAACCAATGGTTTCGATAAAGTTACATGACACACCTACTACACACAGACACTGAATCTTATTATACAGATTGTGTCTAAATTACTTAAGACAGTGTAGTTGCTTTACTATTGAAGTTATACAAACTCAAAAAGGGGACAACTGAAAGTGTAAATGCATTACATGACAACAAAAGTGAAGAATGAAAATTGTTTAATATTTTCTTCTGAAATTAAAATTTGAATTATAAACTATATTTCGATGTCAAGAATATTGACATAGATGGATAATAAAGTTGTTTAATTAAATTTTAAATGTAACTCTGTAAAACACTGAACATGGCTAGACCCATACTTAAAGGGTTACTACATCTTTACTATGTTTCTTCTAATCTCATATTCAAGATGACTGGCTTTCAGGTTTAACTAATATAGTGATATTTGAGTACCTATATTCTGGTTCTAGGATGTGCTAATACAAGATTGTATTATTTGAGAAATAAAAGAAGAAAAAAACATTTACCTGAGCAATTATAAATGTTTATGGCATTTACATTGAAAACAACTCTTTCGTTTTTAAATACAACTTACATGATTATTATGGCTCACAATGATATGTTGTGGGGGTACTGGATCTTGCCAGAAATACTTCAGTTTATCAGCAGGATGTTGAGGAATACGACATGTAGAAAATATTTTGAAGTACTGCATCATATCTAGAGGTTTTCCTCCAGCCATTTCTGTAGGTAACATCTCACTAAAACAAACAACATAAAAACACTGTATTTCATAAATTCAATTTAGAAAATCCTAAATTTATTGCTTAACTTCCTAGACTTCATCTACTAAATTGATATTTTTCTATTATCTGAATCTGTCCAGACTTCTTTCTTACATTAATTCTAAAATACATGATAAGATTTAAACTTACCAATCAATTTTCATTTTGTAATCAAGTGCTCCAGCTATAACTCTAGCAGCAAACCTATCAAAAAACAAAAAATACATCTACTTATTCATGACTTTTGGTTATTTCACCAAATTATTGATTCCATGGATCACATAATTTCTAAAAACTCGGAAGTAATAACAAATAAAGGATATTTTTAGGCAATATGAACTAAAATAGATCTTATCTAATTATTACTTTCTACAGCCTTTTATGTCATTTAACAATTTAATAATATGACTCTAAATTGAGATCTTCCAAATGTCTGCTGATTCATCAGTACAAATGTTAATATGAAACTAAAATAATAAAACTGAGAATTCTATTTAGGAGCTTTACTACACAAATTTTAAAACTGATTTAATGCATGTGGAGTATAAATTGATGTTGTTCTCAAACTACAATATTTCAAAAACTAAAAAAGAATTATCATTACAGCAAACTTAAACTCTAAGATCACAAATATATAACTCCTTTTACCAAAAATATTTCAATTTCATATACTTAATAAGACATACAAACTGAACCTACTATAAAGTGATACCTCAAATATGAAATTCAAATTCAAAATGAAAGTCCAAAAAACTACCCAAAAGCTTCAATGCTTTCAAAAAAATGGTCATAAGCTCCTGATTGATAAGGAAACGTTTTTCAAAGATTGTCAACATTTTGAATTATTTTTTAGACTTTTACAATCACTTTGACTTACATGGAAGCCACACAAGATTTTGTTAATTCATTTTAATTATTTTTAAAGAAAAAAGCACATTAATTTTCTTTAACTAGTGTAAATTTAAGTATTCTTAAAGAAATATTCAAACTTCTTTTGATAACCTAACAGAATATTTTAAATAAATCGGGGAAATCACCCATTGAGTGTGGTCTAATTTTACTCACTCTGGCTTCTTAGATTTAACATGCCAGCATAAGCTGTTGTAATGCACAGATCAAGCCATCTCTACAAAACTACTGTGAGAAGTTATTTAGCTACTATTTATTTTAAAAATCAATAATTACAATAGATTATGAGTTTTTTTGAGTAGCAATCACCAAGTAGTTACAGATCTTAATGCTAAAGTTTTGATTATAAATTTAACTTATTATAATATGCTTTAAGCATGTCAAACATTTTATTCATATGCTGAAACACAAAAATAAGGTACCACAAATCTTACTTGAGCTGATCATCTTTACACTTGAAATCCACAGGAGGAAATACTACAGCAGGATTGGAGTGCACTACTAAAGGCATGCGAAACTCTAGATAAGCTGAAGACAACCACCAGTCAGACAGCTTAAAGAAAACCATTTTATTCATTACTATGATACAATGAAGTCTTAAATAAAACATACTACTTGATCATTTTCCTATATAGAATCATGAAACATTCACTGTGAACATATGAGACTTTTAAATCTTAGCTTTAACATAAGAAAAAAATTGGTTTCAGTGTTTATTTTATTAAACAAAACTTTCACACTTTTTCAAAAACAATTGAAAATATATATATTTATCAACATTATCATACAAAATGTTTTGTTGTCTTTCTGTACTTCACATTTTTTGAAGTTTGATGTTATCAAGATCATTATTTGTTCAATACTCAATACTTGAATTATTACACTCTTAATTTTAAAAAATTTGCAAAATGAGAATCTGTAAATTATTTAGTTAAAATAAATAAAAACTATATAAAATATAGAAACCTACCCAATTTTCTGTGTTTCTTGCTCGTTCTTGAAGCATAGCATGCAGCTTTTCACCTGAGCCTTGAGGTTTTCCAAATTCTTTTACAATCTGTCAAAGGACAAATTTGTGATGTGAATAATTCATTTTTACCACTTACATGTACAAAGCCTTTTTGTTGAGTCATTACATCTGGACTACAAAATATCCTAAAGCTTGTATTAAAACAAAAACAAAAAAAGAACTAACATTTTATGCTATATGATCATGATAGCTAAAAACTGGATTTTTTTAGCTGTGGAGATAGTTTATTACTTATATTAAGCCAAACTTGCATTTCAACGTGTTCGATGAATGCAGAGGATGCCTACAGAAGGTTATGTCACTGGTATAAGTATGAAAGCCTAAGGATAAATAAAACAAAGGTGACTTCATTATATTTGTACTCTAAAAAGGTATCACATTTTAAAATGTGATATCATAAATGAAAGCCTAAATGGATTAACCAAGTAGAAATCTTGCCTTATTGATCTACTATCTTTTTCTGGGATGTTACTTGTTATCTAGATGATGGGGACAAAGGTGTGAAAAGATGCACATGAGTAGGGACTGGAGAGAATCTAGTTAACCCAATGACCACCAGCTACTAACTCTCTGAGCAGCTAATGCAAGTCTTGCTATAATTCATTCCAACAATAAACCTAGTGGATGAACGTGTTTGAAACTTCATAAGAACTTTCATAAATGCACATAGTTTAATAAACATAAAACCTGTTACCTTTTATTAAATTTAGTTTTTTTGCATTATGATCTTTAATATCTTGGAAAATTACATTAGGA